ACTTCAAACGGGACAGAAACAAAATAAAAATCACCAAAACTGAGTTTGTTAGATGTGAAAAAAGCCACGAAACGGGCTACAATGCCTTCGGGACAAGTCGCAGGTCTGAAGCGATTGTTTTAGCCACTGACAGGCTCAAGTTGTTATTCTATGTCTGATGACACCATGGAAAGTTCCTACAGAGACAGACCTTTTGTTTAATCTGAAACAGTAGGAATATCACTATTGTTCACAACCACACAGCACAGACAGTAAAAGGCAGTAGAAAAAAAAAGCTCACCAACTTCCAACTCTCTTGGTCAAAATAAATCCTTAATTTACCAATGCAGGTGAGAAAAACCGCAGTTTCAGTCGCTCTACTCTGGGTGGTCTCGTTGGAATTGGAGGAACTCATACGCATTAACATGCAAAAACGGCCAGACTGGGTTAGTAAACAAAGCACAGAGAGGCTGCGATAACAACATATAACAACACAACACATATCTTAACATAGCAAGTAATAGTTTGCTGCTATATTCATCTTTTAAATCTCATACATATATAACCTTTAAGGCTTTTTGTTTCAGCATCAATGTAATTTGAATAAAAGACTAACCTTTTGTCCAGTGGAGTGCCATCCACCCATATCCACATCCCTTTGGTTTCTCTGTCTGTCAGTCCAATCCACATGACCTTGTTGAATTTTCTTGTGAAGTCCTTGTTTACAGAGAAAAACAGTAATCAGCAATCAATAGAAATGGTTAATTACACCTCTGTGGCTCAGAGGTAGAGCGGGTCGTCCACACACGGAAGGTTGTTGGTTTGATTCCTGGCTCCTCCCCGCAGCATGTCGAGGTATCCTTGAGCAAGATACTGAAGCCCAAATTGCTCCCAATGCTGCGTCATTGATGTGCGAATGTGAATGAATGAGTTAGTTTCTGTTACTGATATTTTAAAAAAAAATCTTTTTTTAAATAACAGAATATAGATTAGTTTACTTATTTTTCAACTTTATGTCATTTCTCACCATATTATTCCATTTACTTCACATTTGTTATATTTTTCACTCTTTCTTTAGTGTCTCTTAATCTCAAACTTATTCAAGCATTAATACCAAGCGGCAAATGAGGCCAACATGGAAGTGCCACAAAGACTATATCCATTTTTGATTATACCGTTTATGATCAATACACACACCTGTTCTTCTTTGCTGTTGATTACAATCAGGTCTGCACCTCTTTGCAGACAGTCTTCTCTGCTGTCGTTCCAGGATTTCTTGGTAGAAGAAATGTAATAGAAACTGGGATGGAAATAGACCCACCCTTGTTGAAAAAGGTGATCTGTTATGAATAACAGCAAAGAGTGCCTTAATATCTCATATTAGAGTGCTCTAATATCTTAATATCTCACATTAGCATTATAGACAATCAAACAGGTCCTGGAGTTTGCCACCAGAACAATTATTTATTTACTTATTTAACATTGTTTGACTATAATCACCAATTTAAAAAAGCGATTATAAATTAATTAGCTCCAATTAAAAATAGATAAAAAGATCAGTAAATGGAATAACTCCATATTCTTATGCCTCTCTTTAAAATTATTAATGAATAAATTAATTTTAGATACACACCAGGGCTGTTGTATTGGATTACATTATTGTACTGGTGTACCTAAAAAAAAAACACTAGCCAGAGTGTATATTTTATGCCACTTCAGATAAAAACAACTCTCTTTAGTGGTTATTTACAGACTGAAAACGATTTGAATCAGACTTTCTACACAACCAGAACAAACAAACACTTGGCCAATAGACCTCCAACCCGCTCTGACGGTCGGATTACTCTTCTTTTATTTTAAAGTATTTTTGATCCAGATTTTTGTTTTGGTTTATTATTTAGTGTGAGTAAACACAATACAAGTTTAATAAAATCGTACAGTGTTTGCCTAAAAACAAAACCCCACAATAACTGTATTATTTGCAGCAGTGGACTATCATGTGAGTCCGTTTTGCTTTGACAAGATTCATCTTCATCTTCATTTTCATCTGATGTACTCAGTGTAATACCCAGTTTTGCCCTAAATTGCACTGAAATGTCCTTTTGGATGCAAGCTCTCATTATTGGTTTGGGAATGAGTTTCCTCCTATTACTTACTAAAGTTAATCAGTTTCTCCTTCAGCTTGTCAGTCTCTTCAATCAGGTTTTTGCAGGCCTCTGGTGTCTTACTCTGAGAGCTGTCTGAAAGAGCAGAAACATTTCATTGGCAATTCATGTGTCAATAATTCACAAGTTCAGTATCTCCAGTAAAGGACACTTTGATAAGTGGACAGGAAGAGATTGTGGAACAAACAATAGAAGCAAATCTGTATGCGCTCATAATCCGGGCTACATCAGCTGATGGCTCAGCTGATTCCCTTCAAGAATCCAATTGGCAATATATCTACACAGTGCCTTATTTAAGGTGCTTTAGACACCTTCACCTTAGCTCCTCCTTTTAAGCTGTATTTCGATTTAATCAGTGTCATTAGTGTTGTCACTGATGCCTGTTCTGTACTGTCTTTGTTGCTCTCCTTGCCTTATGCTTTCCATTTATGCATGTGAAAGGGCAGGGAGGTCACAGAACAGAGCTACACCGCCAGATATAGCATACTACAATTGGAAATAAAGTTTTCTTTTGACAAAAGTGGTCCTGACTGATGTAAGTTTACAGGCCGAAAGTTGTCACATTGGTTTCATTTTATTTTAATTGCATAAATATGAAACATGAACTGGAAAGTCCCATCCTCTTCTTACTTAATATGTTAGTTTTCTAGTACTGTTATTATGCCTTATGAGCGTTTCAAACTTCCCCAAACTTCAGTTTCTTTCTGAAGGTCAGCCGCCCACAAATTCTTAAGCAATTAGAAGGACACTCAGAGAGCGCAGACCTCTGCCATTGTGTTTTTTTCTGCATGTTTTGTTGAGTCATAGCACACTGTTGACTTCAATAATCATGGGTCTGTACACAGTTCATCTTTGCCATAGAGACCAGTGTCAACAATTGACCTACTGTATCTCGCAATGTTTAATCATTAATGGGTTCTTCCTTGGCCCGTGCTACACCCTTCCACCAAGATTCATGACAATCGTGCCACTAGTTTTCCCTTAATCCTACTGAAAACAAACAAACATAAAAAGAAAGGTATATTATATACAGACATAATAATAAACAGGTTTGAGAAACTGAAGGGGTAAAAACTGTGAGAGCCTGAGAGAACAAACACAGAATTTTAATGAGGCATTGTTGTTGATCAAGTGATATACACACATAGCCTTCTTAGAAACCCCACAGAGAAAGTAATGGTCATATCTTGTTATTATTCAACTGTGGTGGTAACCACATCGATTTTCTGCTCTTACAATAACAGAGATTCTGTGGAAACACAAAAGTAGTGACGTAGTTTAAAATTACTCACAGAGAGCGAGACGCAGGGAAATATTGAGAGCAGCTTGTAGGACACACAGGAGTCCAAAGCTCACAGCAACCAGTCGGTAGAGTTTTTTCTCTGTGTGCAGAAATCAAACATGCATGCAAACAAAATAAGTGCCAAGGTTTACTGAGTTATATGGACAATGTGTTGGGCTTTTGGGAGGGCTGTATGTGAGCCAGTGACCTGGCATATATGTTTTAGTAGTGCAAAATGACTGAATATACTAACATCACATGAACACTGAGAAATAGATTCTTCCTTAGCTTTTCTACACAATTAAATATTATTTTAAAAATCCAAAAATTGAATCCATAAAACTGACAATGTTTGTTAAACGGTGGTGTTGTCTCACCAGGCGCTGCAGCAGTGACTCCACCATCCTCACCAGAACATCTCTTGAGGGCATCCTTTCTGGCTGACTCCTCAGGCATATTTACATAGTCCATAGTGATCTCAGGTTGCTCTTTATGGACAAACCTCACCATATTTCACTGACTGGAAGGTGGCAATGGTGAACGGCACTGATGTGTAATCCACTTCCTTTTCTCTATTTATCTCTTAGCTAACAAAGCATCACATGTATACTCTTCCTCATTTTTCCTTTACTTCAACAACTTCTCCACATTAAAGCCATTGGCCACTGCTCCAGTTACAACTCGTGCAGATTCTTGATTCCCTGCAAAGTCAAAGATCTTCACACTTAGAGGCCTCCGATTCCCTCTGTTTGACATATTAGGTTCATTGGTCTTAGTATTTCTTAAATGATAATAAGAGTTTAATCCTCACTTTACTGTCAAATATTCTTTTACTCTTTCCCATTTGAAACAAGCACTTTTTTTTTTTACAGTTTTCTTTCAGATGAACTGAATTCTCACCATTACATTAATTAAAGTTAAATATTACAAAACTAGCACACAACATTACTGCATATACGACAGCTATGACCTAATCTGTTTGTGAGAAAAAGCAGAAGTACGTATGTCACAATGATTTTTTTTTACCTCTTGAACCACTACTTTTCCTTCCCTGTGTCTGTCTCCTGCAATGGTCACAAATTCTAACCAAGATTTATAATTCGTCCACAAAACTTTTTTCTGAATTAGACGTCCGGCTGCCACAGTGTGAAATTAAATCATAATGAATTTAAAGCATGTGAAACCATGAGAACAATCTATCAATCTAGACAAAAATAGTATATTCACTGTGGGTACAGGAACAACAACAACAACAGTTTAACATAAAGTCAGTTTGGTAAATTGTGCAGAATAGTTTCAGGACATGTAGGATATTCATGCTTACGCAATTTCCTACACTTATACTGACATCTATAAAAAACTAAGTAGAACATGCAGACCTCATCTTCAGACACACACAGTTCTCTGGAGTCAGCTGAGTGTTATATGATAACATAGAAATTAAAAAAAGGTAAAATATGGTAAATAATAACAACATTCTTCATTTAGGTTGTTAGCCAATTTCACACAGTTTCAACAGACAGTTTCTTCACAGTGTGTCATAACGGCTGCCTCACTCCTCTACTTGTCCCAGTAACCTGACTATCACTACCTTTTTGTAAATAAACTTTATTGAAATTTTACATTAAAATATTACAAAACAGTTTAACAATAAAGTTCGTCAACTTGAAACCTGGAACATTTATATGCTAGCCTTTTCCCGGTTAAACACAGACTTTCAGTTACTTCTGTTTGGACTTGATACGCATTTTGTGACCCTGTCTGCCTTCATTGTCTGCATTTGGGTCATCTTCCTGCTGCCTTACACTGACTGGTCTGATATGGTAATCTGTAAAAATGCCAATCTCTAATGTATTTACATACACATTTTATTCCTCTGTAGTTTTGTTCTCATATTCTCTCTGATGCAACACTATCAATGAAATTGTACTTTATGAACAGAATTAGTGGAGGAGACAAAATGATTGATATAAAAACAGGTAATTAAGGACATGTTTGCATCTATTTTTTGTCAGACGGTAGGAGTGGAGAGCACGACAGACCTATGTGTATGCACATGCTGTATAAATCTGATGTAAAAAAGCGTACTTATATTTCTGTCTGTGCGCTGACAGAGTTTTAGTTTAAATCGGTACATCTGGTCTCTGCTTTTTGTCCAGTTTTCCTGTTTAGTGCCTGTGTCTGTTCAGATATGGATCATAGTTTTGTTGATGCACAATTGTGAAAGTGTACCCACATGTTCGAAAAAAGCAGTTGTGAAAGTGTGCTCTTGGTTTCCCCTGTGGTAGATAATACATGATAAAGTGCCCTCTACGGTGGCCCAGTGTGAAAGATAACAGAAGAGGACTGAGGAGTAGTAGTTATACTTTAAATCTGTGTCACATGATAAAACCATTTTAATCTTAACCCGGGACTGGAACATGAATGCATTATGAGTATTAGATTACTTAGATTACAGTATTACTGTATTAGAGTATCACTACAAAGGTAACAAAGGTAATTAAATTTAAATGAAAGGTTTTGAATAATATTCCATTACACAACAAGAACTGAATAAGTTATTAATTCCATAATTCGTGAATAACAGATTTTAGTGAGTCACGTTACACTTCCACTTTACACTTTTCTTTTACTTCTTCTAAATGTGTTAGCTCACTCTTGCACCAAAAGAGGGAACACACACATTACTGGTCAGACTACAGATCTTCTCAACAAATATTAAGACAACCCAGGGGATGCAGGAACTTGACATAATGGATTATGTTAATGAGCAGCCAAGACGTGACCAGAGACACAGGGGGGATGAAAATCAAACAGGTAGGCCTAATGTATCAGAAATATAAATGCAAGGAGAAATAACTTTATTGTACTTGTGGGTATTATAAGTGTGGACTGTGCAACTATATCGGATCGGGACACGGTATCGGCAGATACTCAAAATAAGATGACTCTGAGTCTTGCAATGAGCTGAGTGTGATAAAATAGACATTAAAAAAAGGTGAAATATGGTAAATAATAACAACATTGTTCATTTTGGTTGTTAGCCAATTTCACACAGTTTCACCAATCAGTCCTGTTCTGTTCATTCTGCCTCTCTCTTCTGACACATTTCCACTTCCCCAGTCCGCTGCATTGCCATTATTACAATTATATTATGTGGGGTTACAGGTCACATTTGACACATCCACTGCATGGAAACCAGTGTAACACTGGTCTCAAATGTTAAAAGCTGTATCAGATTTAAGGTTAGCATTAATGTCTCTGTCTCGCTAAACTCAGTGTTGTCCTCTTCCTGAAAACCTTTTCTCTTGCGAATGCGAAGCGTATTTGCTGTATTGTGCAAAGAGGGATCTTTTTGGACGTCATTGGCACATATCAGTTTTACCTCAAAATTAAGTGATTCAGATTCTTTACTAAAAGTATTGGCTTGTGTGTTAATTTTGCAGGGAGAAGACTCTTCCTCTGCTTTGGCGTGCTGTGTATCATACAAGCCACTCTCAATGTTTCTCTGCGCCTTACTTGTGAGTATGGTTTCTTGGCAGTGTAACTAAAATTAGCACTTTGAGTAATTTGACATTGTTGTAAAACTTTTATCACATCTTTATGTCAAACAAAACCTGAAAATATATTTTTGATTTAAATAAATAAAAAAGAAAATTAAATTTAACTCTTTGTTTCTATATTTTCAGTGTACTCAAGCAAGGAACCAACCCACTTGGACTGCAACTCAACTAATTTAAGTGACCGAAACCAGGTGACGGTAGTGCAGGATTATGAGCAAAGGAAACCTGATCACTGCAACAGCTTACAAGAAAGAGTCAACGCCTTGACCAGAGACAGAAACCGGCTTGAAAACCGAAACACTGAACTCATCAACATGATAAAGAAGGTGGAGGAAGAGCGAGACCGGCTTAAGATCAGTCTGATGACTGAGAAAAAAATCTATTGACCTTCACTTTAGGTCATTTCTTCTTCTTTCATTCTGATATAAAGTAACCTACATACTGTATGTAACCTACCCACTATAACAGAAATCCAGGTACATTTTTCCACTGTCAGTGTTCACACTTCACAAGAGCTAGCTCAGAGTTCAGTTCACTTCAAATTAACTCGTTTTAAACTAAGCTCAAAGTCCCAAAACATTTCATGTTAATTTTTTCCGTTAGGCTGCAGTTGTCTGTCTACTTGTTGTTACTTAGGCAGGGGAAATTTGCATGTGTGATTTTACGATGTCTTCAGTTCCTCCAGGAAGTGGCAATGTTGCAATCTCAGCAATTATGCAAATTCAACCAATATCTGTGAATTCTGTGTGACCTTGTAATTTAGTATAATAAATTGTACATCTTGAACAATTAATTCACAGCTTCATTTTCTCCTGTCTAGATTACTGTAACTCCCTCTACACGTGCCTCAGTCAAGCTTCGTTAAATCCTTTACAGTTAGTACAAAAGAACCAGATGGCCCTAGTCCACAACACAGGTCTGGTATTGTTTAGCTCTACCTTTCTTCATCGAGTGATCCTTTTGCTGCTTTTTTAGTTAACTTCAATGATATATACTACATATACAACAGTGCAAATACATTGGTTAACCCCTCGTGAAGTTACTGAAACTTACAGTGATGTTAGTTGAAATGGATACATTTCGTTCAGCCGTTCCCCAAAAAAATGAGCCTTGTTCAAAAAACTTGCACTCTTTTAGGGTAATCGTTCAGTAACACTAAGGTCATGTTTTGGCATTTTGCTTGTAACTAAAAGAAAACTCTTGTCCTTGCTGAAAAAGTTTTAAAAAAGGAAATATAAAATCTTTAAATGTTTTGACACACAGTCAGGCGTTAATTGATACCTGTATAGTTTTATTTTAATGTATAGTTTGTTATTGTAGGTAATATTTACAATTATCGGTTTATAGTCACAGATACCACAAATAAAAATGAATTATATTCATTGTCTTTAAGTTTAAATTCCATTGTGAGATTGGAGTTGTATCATAAGTCATTGGCTACTTGCGCTTCCAGGGCCCGAGTGCAATAAACTCATCAGCCAGTGTCCGAGGTTGGAATAAAAGATCCAACCCAAGATGTTACTGTCCTCTCCCGTGAGAAAAAAAAATTGGGAGGAGAAGCAGACAGCACCCGTCAGAGTAAAGGTGCTTGACTGCAAAACAGGAAAGTAGTACAAGTCCAATCTGTGCCTGTCAAAAAAAAAAAAAAAAAACAAAATAAAAAGAAAAAAAAAAAAATAAATGTGTGTTTGCCTTTCTTGATGTTGAAGTCTGACATTCCTCCTATTATTTTATTAACAGATGGCCTTGTACCGTCCGGATAGATCTTAATGATCCTCTGTGGTCTGGATTTTGGTCTGTATGACACTGAGAGCAGTCTGAGAACTTCAAATGGGTGATGGAATCTGCGCTGATGAACCCTGTAAGGCCATTTATCCACAGAAATCATTCTGTGTAGGCAGTGATAGGCTCTAGAGATCTTTTTTAAATGGTCTTAGCAGTTTATGGATCATTTAAAATACCTACACTGAAATCAAATAGTGAAGTCTAAAGTGGTCAATTCTCACGTTGGGAGTAACCTGGCTGTTCCCCATCAGAAGTGGCATTCCTCTGCTATTACAAATGTGTGGAATAAGTATATCATTAAAAAACCAAAAATCAAAAACATCACTGATTTTTTATTAAACAAGATAATTATCACTTTAACATACACCGATCAGCGCATAAACAGACAGACTGTGGATGCACTGTGTGCTTCTGACAACTTCTATCAGAAACAGAATTAACTGTTTTCAGCAATTTGAGCTACAGTTGGCTCGTCTGTTGATCTGACCA